CATACTGTTTTGAACAGATAACAAAATTTGCTATAAATCCATAAAACTTTCCGTGTAATTTTGGAAAAATAAAATTTTCGCCAATTTTTAATTTTTTTATAAGGGGGTACCCCATGATTTTTTGCGAAAAATTAAAAATGAATAAATTGTCAAGGTTTAAATGCCAATCGTTAGGAAATTTAATAACGAGTTCAGAAAGGTATGACAATCCATACTTTGAATCAGACCAAAAATAAAATTTTCGCCAATTTTTAATTTTTTTATAAGGGGGTACCCCATGATTTTTTGCGAAAAATTAAAAATGAATAAATTGTCAAGGTTTAAATGCCAATCGTTAGGAAATTTAATAACGAGTTCAGAAAGGTATGACAATCCATACTTTGAATCAGTATTTGCTTTGTTATAGCGAAAAAACTGCAACGTTTTAGCGAAAAAACGGGTTTGGTTTTTTTTGGAAATTCGCGATTTCAGTTTTTGACAAAAATTGGAATTTTTTCTTTTGGTTTTTTTGCTGTCACTTGGCCAAAAATGGTCCTACACCAAAAATTCATACTGTTTTGAACAGATAACAAAATTTGCTATAAATCCATAAAACTTTCCGTGTAATTTTGAAAAAATAAAATTTTCGCCAATTTTTAATTTTTTTATAAGGGGGTACCCCATGATTTTTTGCGAAAAATTAAAAATGAATAAATTGTCAAGGTTTAAATGCCAATCGTTAGGAAATTTAATAACGAGTTCAGAAAGGTATGACAATCCATACTTTGAATCAGTATTTGCTTTGTTATAGCGAAAAAACTGCAACGTTTTAGCGAAAAAACGGGTTTGGTTTTTTTTGGAAATTCGCGATTTCAGTTTTTGACAAAAATTGGAATTTTTTCTTTTGGTTTTTTTGCTGTCACTTGGCCAAAAATGATCCTACACCAAAAATTCATACTGTTTTGAACAGATAACAAAATTTGCTATAAATCCATAAAACTTTCCGTGTAATTTTGGAAAAATAAAATTTTCGCCAATTTTTAATTTTTTTATAAGGGGGTACCCCATGATTTTTTGCGAAAAATTAAAAATGAATAAATTGTCAAGGTTTAAATGCCAATCGTTAGGAAATTTAATAACGAGTTCAGAAAGGTATGACAATCCATACTTTGAATCAGTATTTGCTTTGTTATAGCGAAAAAACTGCAACGTTTTAGCGAAAAAACGGGTTTGGTTTTTTTTGGAAATTCGCGATTTCAGTTTTTGACAAAAATTGGAATTTTTTCTTTTGGTTTTTTTGCTGTCACTTGGCCAAAAATGGTCCTACACCAAAAATTCATACTGTTTTGAACAGATAACAAAATTTGCTATAAATCCATAAAACTTTCCGTGTAATTTTGGAAAAATAAAATTTTCGCCAATTTTTAATTTTTTTATAAGGGGGTACCCCATGATTTTTTGCGAAAAGTTAAAAATGAATAAATTGTCAAGGTTTAAATGCCAATCGTTAGGAAATTTAATAACGAGTTCAGAAAGGTATGACAATCCATACTTTGAATCAGTATTTGCTTTGTTATAGCGAAAAAACTGCAACGTTTTAGCGAAAAAACGGGTTTGGTTTTTTTTTGGAAATTCGCGATTTCAGTTTTTGACAAAAATTGGAATTTTTTCTTTTGGTTTTTTTGCTGTCACTTGGCCAAAAATGGTCCTACACCAAAAATTCATACTGTTTTGAACAGATAACAAAATTTGCTATAAATCCATAAAACTTTCCGTGTAATTTTGGAAAAATAAAATTTTCGCCAATTTTTAATTTTTTTATAAGGGGGTACCCCATGATTTTTTGCGAAAAATTAAAAATGAATAAATTGTCAAAGTTTAAATGCCAATCGTTAGGAAATTTAATAACGAGTTCAGAAAGGTATGACAATCCATACTTTGAATCAGTATTTGCTTTGTTATAGCGAAAAAACTGCAACGTTTTAGCGAAAAAACGGGTTTGGTTTTTTTTGAAATTCGCGATTTCAGTTTTTGACAAAAATTGGAATTTTTTCTTTTGGTTTTTTTGCTGTCACTTGGCCAAAGATGGTCCTACACCAAAAATTCATACTGTTTTGAACAGATAACAAAATTTGCTATAAATCCATAAAACTTTCCGTGTAATTTTGGAAAAATAAAATTTTCGCCAATTTTTAATTTTTTTATAAGGGGGTACCCCATGATTTTTTGCGAAAAATTAAAAATGAATAAATTGTCAAGGTTTAAATGCCAATCGTTAGGAAATTTAATAACGAGTTCAGAAAGGTATGACAATCCATACTTTGAATCAGTATTTGCTTTGTTATAGCGAAAAAACTGCAACGTTTTAGCGAAAAAACGGGTTTGGTTTTTTTTGGAAATTCGCGATTTCAGTTTTTGACAAAAATTGGAATTTTTTCTTTTGGTTTTTTTGCTGTCACTTGGCCAAAAATGATCCTACACCAAAAATTCATACTGTTTTGAACAGATAACAAAATTTGCTATAAATCCATAAAACTTTCCGTGTAATTTTGGAAAAATAAAATTTTCGCCAATTTTTAATTTTTTTATAAGGGGGTACCCCATGATTTTTTGCGAAAAATTAAAAATGAATAAATTGTCAAGGTTTAAATGCCAATCGTTAGGAAATTTAATAACGAGTTCAGAAAGGTATGACAATCCATACTTTGAATCAGTATTTGCATTGTTATAGCGAAAAAACTGCAACGTTTTAGCGAAAAAACGGGTTTGGTTTTTTTTTGGAAATTCGCGATTTCAGTTTTTGACAAAAATTGGAATTTTTTCTTTTGGTTTTTTTGCTGTAACTTGGCCAAAAATGGTCCTACACCAAAAATTCATACTGTTTTGAACAGATAACAAAATTTGCTATAAATCCATAAAACTTTCCGTGTAATTTTGGAAAAATAAAATTTTCGCCAATTTTTAATTTTTTTATAAGGGGGTACCCCATGATTTTTTGCGAAAAATTAAAAATGAATAAATTGTCAAGGTTTAAATGCCAATCGTTAGGAAATTTAATAACGAGTTCAGAAAGGTATGACAATCCATACTTTGAATCAGTATTTGCTTTGTTATAGCGAAAAAACTGCAACGTTTTAGCGAAAAAACGGGTTTGGTTTTTTTTTGGAAATTCGCGATTTCAGTTTTTGACAAAAATTGGAATTTTTTCTTTTGGTTTTTTTGCTGTCACTTGGCCAAAAATGGTCCTACACCAAAAATTCATACTGTTTTGAACAGATAACAAAATTTGCTATAAATCCATAAAACTTTCCGTGTAATTTTGGAAAAATAAAATTTTCGCCAATTTTTAATTTTTTTATAAGGGGGTACCCCATGATTTTTTGCGAAAAATTAAAAATGAAAAATTGTCAAGGCTTAAATGCCAATCGTTAGGAAATTTAATAACGAGTTCAGAAAGGTATGACAATCCATACTTTGAATCAGTATTTGCTTTGTTATAGCGAAAAAACTGCAACGTTTTAGCGAAAAAACGGGTTTGGTTTTTTTTTGGAAATTCGCGATTTCAGTTTTTGACAAAAATTGGAATTTTTTTCTTTTGGTTTTTTTGCTGTCACTTGGCCAAAAATGGTCCTACACCAAAAATTCATACTGTTTTGAACAGATAACAAAATTTGCTATAAATCCATAAAACTTTCCGTGTAATTTTGGAAAAATAAAATTTTCGCCAATTTTTAATTTTTTTATAAGGGGGGTACCCCATGATTTTTTGCGAAAAATTAAAAATGAATAAATTGTCAAGGTTTAAATGCCAATCGTTAGGAAATTTAATAACGAGTTCAGAAAGGTATGACAATCTATACTTTGAATCAGTATTTGCTTTGTTATAGCGAAAAAACTGCAACGTTTTAGCGAAAAAACGGGTTTGGTTTTTTTTTTGGAAATTCGCGATTTCAGTTTTTGACAAAAATTGGAATTTTTTCTTTTTTGCTGTCACTTGGCCAAAAATGGTCCTACACCAAAAATTCATACTGTTTTGAACAGATAACAAAATTTGCTATAAATCCATAAAACTTTCCGTGTAATTTTGGAAAAATAAAATTTTTGCCAATTTTTAATTTTTTTATTGATTGATTTTTGCGAAAAATTAAAAATGAATAAATTGTCAAGGTTTAAATGCCAATCGTTAGGAAATTTAATAACGAGTTCAGAAAGGTATGACAATCCATACTTTGAATCAGTATTTGTTATAGCGAAAAAACCGCAACGTTTTAGCGAAGAAACGGGTTTGGTTTTTTTTTGGAAATTCGCGATTTCAGTTTTTGACAAAAATTGGAATTTTTTCTTTTGGTTTTTTTGCTGTCACTTGGCCAAAAATGGTCCTACACCAAAAATTCATACTGTTTTGAACAGATAACAAAATTTGCTATAAATCCATAACACTTTCCGTGTAATTTTGGAAAAATAAAATTTTCGCCAATTTTTAATTTTTTTATTGTTTGATTTTTGCGAAAAATTAAAAATGAATAAATTGTCAAGGTTTAAATGCCAATCGTTAGGAAATTTAATAACGAGTTCAGAAAGGTATGACAATCCATACTTTGAATCAGTATTTGTTATAGCGAAAAAACCGCAACGTTTTAGCGAAGAAACGGGTTTGGTTTTTTTTTGGAAATTCGCGATTTCAGTTTTTGACAAAAATTGGAATTTTTTCTTTTGGTTTTTTTGCTGTAACTTGGAAAGGTATGACAATCCATACTTTGAATCAGTATTTGCTTTGTTTTAGCGAAAAAACAGATTAAAATTCATAACGAGTTCAACGATGTAAGACATTCCATGTTTGGATCATTACATAAGCACCTAAACTAGGCATTTATGCGTCCTATTCTTGTACAATAATTCCACTCCGTCTTTTTTGATAAATAACTTATTTAATATTAACATAATTTACAGTAAAAGTAAAATATAAATGACAATAAACAATGAAAAAAAAAACCAAAAAAAAATTAATAAAGATCCCTAAGTTAGTTAGTTAGCTCAGTAGTGGTGGTATTTGTGGCCCTGGTGGTGCTGCTGCTGCGCCAAATTGGCCTGGGCGAAGATGTGCTCCAGCTCCGCGTCGCTCAGCTGGTCGAAGATGCCGCCCTGGCTCCCGATTCCGGCACTGCTGGAACTCAGGGCCGATGGCTGCGATCCCACGGGCGGCAGGTAACCTTTAAGTCGAAAAAAAAGAAAGAAAATGAGTCCTTCAGATTTACAAATATAATTCCTAGGGATTTCTCTTAAAATTTTAACCATTTTTCATTTAATTCGAATTTTGTTAAGTCCTAGAAGTAAAATCTCTTTTTAAAGCTGTCTAAAAGTAGGCAACAATAAATTTCGAATCATAGCACACTTTTTGTAATCTATGGTTCTTTAGCTCACCTTCGGCTGGCGAAGATCCGTAGGGCGGCAGCAGGGTGATCGAAGGACGAGTGGGCGATGCTGGCGCGGATTCGGTGGGTGGTTGATAGAACACCGGCTTCCAGGGCTGCTGGCTCGGTGGTCGTTGCGGTGTCACCTCCGCCGGATTCTCCGCCTCCGGCGACTGGGGAATCTGCGGCGAGGCAATGCCCGTTCCCGACTCCGGCTGCACGGGCGTGGATCCCGGCAGGGGTACAATTCCGCCGGGGAACTGTGCCTCCGGCTGGCCAAAGGTGGGTGGCTGCTGGGGCAGCGGCGGCTGGGGGGCAGCCGGGAAGAACTGACTGGTGGGCGGACTGGGGAAGGAGGGAACCGTTGGCACCGCAGGCACTGAGGGCACCGATGGACTGGCCGGCGCCTGGGGGAACTGGGGAATCTGCGGGAAGCCGGGGAACTGAGGGAACTGGGGAATTCCAGGGAACTGTGGTATTTGGGGTATTTGGGGAATTTGTGGAATCTGCGGGATGGCAGGAATCTGGGGAACTTCCGGGGCTTCGGGAGCAGCCGGAATCGCCGGAATCGGCTGGGCGGGCACAGCGGGTTGCGCGGGCACCGCTGGCTGGGCAGGCTGGAAGCTAAAGGTGGGCACTCCAGGGAACTGCGGCTGCTGCGGGAACTGGGGGATCACGGGCAGATCCACAGCTGCGGGAGCCGGAACCCCAAAGGCCACTGAGGGCTGGACGGGCTGGATGGGCTGGATGGGCTGCAGAGGCTGAACTGGTTGGATGGGGGTGACTGGTTGCAGGGGCTGAACTGGTTGGATGGGCTGATACTGATGGGTCACGGGCTGAATTGGCTGAATGGGCTGAAGATGTTGTACAGGATGAATTGGCTGGATGGGCTGAACAGGCTGAACAGGCTGAACTGGCTGGACAGGAACAGCGGGAGCAGTGGGAGCAAAGGCCTGGACATACGTTGGCTGCAAATAAGATATCATAGGTAAATTTATTAAACAGAAGAATTTAAAAAGTATCATAATTTAATGATATGATTTAATAATTAATCCCAAAAATAAGATTTTATTCTCACCCTCCAATACATTGAATACGAAAAGTAAGAAATAGTATTTTAAGATTTAAGCGTTGCATAATAGTTCTAATGTTTTGACAGTTGGAATGTAGTCAAAAATATCATTCTCCAATTTTTATTCTTGTACAATTTAGCATTATGAATTTCATTGAAATAGTTTGCTTAAAAAAGGGATCAAAAACAAATTTTTTGTTGTAGATTAAAATAATTTGTGGATAATTGGCTGCAGTGCGTAAGAGTGATAAACTTGGAAGCTAATTCCTACATTTATATTAGTTTATCATCATTACTAATGTGATTCCTCTATCCTAGATATTTCCTCTTCTAAAAAAAAAATAGACAAATTCTTTGCACAGCAGTGGTCATTGAACTCGTACCATTTTTAGCAGACAAAAAAAGTAAAACAAATTAAAATTTTATGAAAATAAAAATATGTAACAAAGTTTCTTTAGGATGGATAAAACCTGTTAAACTATCGGACTCACCTGCACGGCGTGCACATGGGCGTGGGCCGGAGGAGCATGGAAGTGCAGCGGCTTCACGGCGGCGGACTGGAGGACGACGGGCTTCTGCAGGTGCTGGTGCGGATAGTTGACGCTGTACGAGGAGACGAGGGCGTTGCCGGGTCGCAGGACATACGAGGGCGGGGCCAGGGCGGTGGCCACTCCGGCGGGCAGACCAGTGGGCAAACCAACGGGCAATCCAGTGGGCAATCCAGTGGGCAATCCGGCGGGCAATCCAACGGGCAAACCGGTGGGCAGCAGAGCAGCGGGAGCGGGGGCCGGAGCAAGGCCAGGCAGCAGACCGGAACCGGAAACGAGGGTCAGTGGCTTCACCACACCGTGACCATGTCCGTACTTCACGAAGTGGCGATGCGGAGGAGCGGCGGCCAGGAAGGCACTGCCGCCGGGCAGCTGGAGGCTGTAGCCGTAGTGGGCGGCATAGGTGCGGGCGGGCCACTGGCCCTGGTGCAGGTGGGCGTGGCCGTGCAGAATGCCCCGCTTGTGCTTCCCCGTGGTGACCTCCACTTCCGTTTCCGGTTCGGTCGCCTGAGAGGCGGCCAGCGGAGGAGCACTCTCCTGTTCTCCGGTCTCCTGCGGTGGCGCCTCCTCCGCCGAGGTCGCGGAAGTAATGGTGGGCGTAGTGCTGGCCGGGGGCGTGGCCGATCGTGGGGCGTGGCGCAGACGCAGGCCCGCCTCCGCTGGAGGGGCGACCAAGATGACGGCCAAGACCATCAGAAGATGGAGGCTCCGCGAACTGGTAAAGAGATTCATCCTATTTTTTTTTGTAGTTTTTAAATATTACACTGTTAAATGTATTTTATTTCGTTTCGCGCTTAATCCGTTTGCTGCGATCGCCGCCAAGAAAATGAAATGAACTTCCTTGGTCGCTGTTGTATTTATAAAGCGGACATCGCGGCACAGTGGAGTGGTCGTCGAAAAGTACCCACTGTGCATACCAATCGCCAATTGTCGAGTGTCGACTGCTGGCAATGCACCGCCGCTGGCGGCTCATCGGCATGGAGTACGGCGATTGGGCAGTTTATGACTTTTACGCTGCCATTTCCATTTCACTTGCCGCAATCGAAGGCTTCGTAGTAAAACCACCAACCACCCACCACCCACTCCACCCACCGAAGACGTCACCTCATTATGCTTAGCCCTCTGACCACGCACAGTGGTCAAAATGATATAAATAAATGGTTTTAAAGATCAATCAAAACGATTTGTCAAAATTCTTATTTAAATGTAGTATTACTATATTATGAACTAACTTTATTGCAAGTTCATAGCAAGAACACAAAATGTTCTTAGTTTTGGTGATAGCATTTACTAACAAAAAGAAAAACTTTCCACTAAAAATGTACAAAAAAACCACATAAATTACGTCTTATTAAAAAACTGTTTTATAACTTTCTTGCTTATAAATAAAAATATTTTATTTATAAATTAAACGCCTTCAAATTATGAAGTACAATTTTTAAACTATTAAACACCTTTTACTATCAACCAAAACTTAAATAATTGCAGTTTTATGTCTATGAGATCATAAAATATTAAAACAGACTCTTGTTTTAAAAATAAAACATCTATTTTGAAATATCATAGGTTTAATGAGATAAGAAATTTTTTTTTGCTATTACAATTTTTGTGTAAAGGATGATATTAAAAGAAATTTAATTACAACGTATCAAATTCGACAACCTTAAAACCTCAAAAATAATAGTATTTTAGGGTCATAAATTTGATTGTATTAAAAGTGCCCAACTGATGGCCTGCCAACTTTAAAGACATTCATGTAATATGTGGCCAATAATACTCGGCTCAATTTGGCAGGTTGTTTTGGCCCCGCTCCACTGTTCCCATTCGGTGGACTGGGACTCGAACTCGGACTCGGATTTGGAATCCACCTACGCATGCGCCGCACGTTTCCGCACGCACAAAACTTTTGCTTTCAATGGCCTGCATGTTCCGCCTGTGTTGTTTTTTCTTTTTCTCCCCCTGGCTTTTTATCGCCGGACTCTTTTCACTTTCGATGGGCCGAGATGGTCCGAAGGTTTATGATTCGGCTGCAATTTAGATACAAATCAAAGGTGTCGCCCGCTTACATAATCGCCGCCCAAGAAGGGCGCATTGAATCTAATCAGGCGCCGGGTGAAAGCATAATATAAATATAATAATAAAAGCAAGGCAGACAATTACCAATTACCAATTAGCATGGGGCGGTCAATTATTTTGATGGCATTTCAATGCTATTATTTTGAGTTTCGTTAAAATTCAGCATTCACACGCATGAATTTCACCTGCACCACTAAATCTGAACTTATAGACAGATGGATAGTGCTGCATTATATCACACACTAACCGTAAATGAACTTTCGATTAGCCTACATTGATTTTCACTTTTTTTGGAAATTGCCCGTCGAGTGTTTGGAATTTCAATCGCTTGAAATCACAGTGGCAGCTGGTACAGTTCGGCTTGCGGGCCATCATATCATCGGCCGGACATCTAAGTGGGTCTGGCACACAATCCCCAAGGTCTTTCCCAGGCCTTGCCGCCGGAGATGTCATTTTTTTGGCACATGTAATACATATATTTGACAAAGAGCCACATAAACCTCAAAATGTAAACATGCAGAAATAAAAGCCGCCACAGAAGCTTGTTCAATTCGATGCTTTATGACCCGAGCGACGTGAGCGGCATGGTGAAACGCGCGCACAGAGGTGTTTCCTAATCCTAAGGGCTCACAGCTTGAAGCCGGAGTGAATGCTGACGACGCCGAAGGTGAGGTTCTCGTAGGACACCTGCTCGAATCCCGCCTGCTCGATCATCCGCTTGAACTGCTCCTGCTTGGGGAACCGCCGGATGCTCTCCACCAGGTACTGGTACGCCTGCCACTGGCCGGCCAGCAGTTGGCCCATGGGCGGGATCACCTGGAAGGAGTACTGATCGTAGAGCCACTGCATCGTCTCGTTGGTCAGGTGGCTGAACTCCAGGCACATGAAGCGTCCGCCAGGCTGCAGCACTCTATACGCCTCGGCAAGGACCTGAAATGTGGGATTTAAAGGTGATTAGGTAGGTGATAACTTTAGCCATTCCTTTACCTTGTCCACATGCGTGCAGTTCCGGATGCCAAAGGCAATCGTGTAGGCGCTGAAGCTCTCGTCCCGGAAGGGCAGCTTCTCGGCATCGGCGCACTGCCAGGCGACGGTGCAGTTGGCCAGCCGGTCGGTGGTCAGGCCCAGGCGCCTGGCCCGCTCCTCGCCCACGTCCAGCATGTGCTGGTTGATGTCCGACACGGTGACATGGCTGCCGCGCTGCTGGGGATTCGGCTGGTTGGCCAGGTAGCGCAGGTAACGGAAGCTGATGTCGCCCGTGCCGCCGGCCATGTCCAGGAGGCGCATGCCGTGCGTGGGGCCCAGTCGCTCCACGAACACGTCCTTCCACACGCGATGGATGCCCAGGGACATGGCGTCGTTCATCATGTCGTAGGAGTTGGCCACCTGCTCGAAGACCTCGTGAACTGGGCGAAAAGGATGATCTTTAGTGATTCCTTAATGGGTTCACCTCTCTACTCACCCTTTTGCTCCTTCTCGCTTTCCCTGACCGTCTGGAAGCCGAAATGCGTGGTTTGCTCCGATCCGGAAGTGGATTCCGCACCTCTCGGCCTCTCCGCTCCGGATCCTGTGGACTCCCGGGCCGACTGCGCCGCCGTCCGGCTGTGGACGATCCTCCTGGCCAGGGACAGCAGGCGGGTACTCCTCGTGCTCTGCATTTCGGCGATTTAAGTCGGTTCTTCCTTAGGACTATATTATATTATGAAATAACAAACACGGAACAGCCGGTTAGGGATGGGAGTTCTGGGGCCATATGTTAAACCTATCGATACATGGTCACCCTATTCTAACTCCGATATCGATAAGGGCGCGTAATTCAAACGCTTAAAATATTGATAACATAACCAGAGAAAAAATGAATAAATAATAATATAAAAATCAGGATCCGCAAAAAACCAATTTGTCTAAGGTTTTACCTTGAATTAGAGCTATGGAGCTTTAATCCCACAATTAATAAACAACAACCATTTTCACTTAATCCGCACATTTATATTTATTAATTGTACGTATGCGTGCACAATTCAGATTTCGCGACCTCTTATCTTCTCCTATCTTCAGATGCCTCTCAATGTCTGTTGGTTCAACTTAAGATTAGTCATTACAAGTAAGTATATAATTACAATTTTTGTTTGATTAAAAAAAATGCCTTAGCTTGGGAAGGGGGGTTGGTTTTCGCTTTGCTGCGCTGCGCTGCAGCCATCGAAGGGACCTTAAAAACGTTAGATTAAAAACAATTAAAAAAAACGTATTTATATATATAGTAATAATAATAAATAGTTTACAAAATGTGGCGGTTTATTGTGTGTGTGTGTAACTTAGGGCGTAACTAAAATTAATCTTTAAATCATTGAGAAAAGTCCATTTATAAGCGTTTTTCATTTCGTTCTCTATATATCATCGTATTTCCGTTGCGCGGGTGTCGTTATGTCGGTATGTGAGTGTGGTTCTTTATGAGCTATGACGAGCCAAAGTCTGATTTATATCATGGATGGGGTGGTGGTACATGGTTAAGTCTATTTAAAATTAAGGCAAAAAAAATTGTGTTGCTGCTGTCCGGGAGCCCTACTACTTCACGTCCTTCTACACATACGCTATGTATTTAAGTTAGGTTTATCTATATCGTAGTATTTATATTTATATTATAATATATTTAAATATATTATGTTAAAGCCTATCGTGCTCCCTACCATCCTAGCATCCTAGCATCCTACCCTCCTACCATCCGCTGTGGATTCAAATATTGCTTGGCCTCGGTTGAGAAGTTTGGAAGATGCGGAAGGGGTATTGGATTGCGGTCTCAAGGGTGTAGCCATAAGCCATAACTAAATCACACAACTGCCACTCCAACTCAGTAGTTGAACTCCTCCTGCTTCTCCGAGTCGCTGCGCAGGTCGGCCACCAACGGCTCGAAGCAGGACTTGGGTATCAGAGTGCCCACGATCTTCTCGTCCCCGGTTGTCTTCATGCGTATCACTTGCATCTTGCTATTGGAACGTGTATTCAGTATGTGCTCGACGCGTCCCCACACGGAGAGCACGGAGCCGGCCAGCACATGGTACAGGCGCTGCCTCAAGCCGACCTAAAGGTAGAACAAACTGTGAGTACATGAAATCATATCCGTATCCCATCTTAACCCACCTCACAATCGTTGCCCAGGCTGACATTCCGGCAGTTGCCGTTCCAGTAGGCGTGCGAACAGGTGTTCACCGACGCATCGTACTGCTCCGTCCAGTGGGGCTCCGCCTCCTCGCTGCCCACCTTGCGGTACTTCTTCTCCAGCTCGAACAGCGACTCGTGGCGCACCTGAAGACCGGTGTTTGGCCTGTAGATCTGGCACATGATCTCCTTTTTGCTGCGCGACTTCTTCTTCTTGCCGCCATCGGAATCGGTGGTGGTGCTGCTCGTCGAGCTGCTGTTGCGCGCTGGCTGGTGCTCCAGGATCACCACCATAATGGCGGTTCGCTTCTGGTTGCGCAGCTGGTGGGACAGGTAGAAGCCCTCGTTCTCGTTGAACAGATCGGCGTATCTGTGTGGTTAGAGAGTATAATTAATAACTGACATTTTCAGAATTATTATTCCTCTCCCTACTTATCAATGGCCTCCTGCCAGATCATGCCGCGCTCCACGCGAACCGTGTGCATCTCTGTGGGCGCCACGCCGGTGGCATGTTTGCGCACGAACCGAATGAGCCGGCAGCGGGTCACATTCTCGCCGGCAGCGCCAAGATCTAGGGTATTAAAAGATGAATGATTAAATGAATACAGGATTCAATAAAGAGATCTCCATCTGCAGACACTCACCCACTATGCCCAGATCGAAGCGACCGCCGCGCTTCGCCTGCTGGATGATGGCCGTCATGGTGTCGGTGAAGTACTTAAACAGGCGATTCTGCAAATCCACCGGACAACCGAGAATGCGATTGAGAAACTTTGATATGTTGTTGTAGTCCTTGTCCAGACTGAGCACGCCCGGATGGCTCTCGCTGTTCACGATTATGCCCACGCCGACCAGAGCTCCAGCGATGTCCTTGAAGAACTCGCCGCTGTAGTCCGTGGGCGGCGGCACCAGCGGCGACTCGTAGCCCATGATGGTGCGCATCACCGTCTCGAGAGCTTGCCGGCCGTACTTGTTGTCAATGTTGAACTGGGAGAGATCGCGCGTCTCGGTGGCCCGGCGATCGCCGTGGGTGAGGGCGCCCAGCGACTCCAGGCGCTTGGCCACCGTGGAGGCGAAGCGCCGTTCGCCAGCCAGATCCGAGATGAGGAAGATGTACTCGGGTGCATTCACCTGAAGAGTATTTAAGATTAGTTCAATCAAAAACCAAATATACAATATTAAACCCACCTGATTGGAGCGATGGGTGCGTCCAAACTGCTGGATGGCCCTGTCGGCGGACCAGGGCAGCTCCAGGGTGATGTGGACGCGCCGCCGCTGGTTGAAGACCCGCCGATCGCTCTGCAGCGAAATGCCGCTGGACGCCGCCTCCGAGATAATGGCCACGTCCTTCTGGCCGTCCATGAAGCGCTGCTTCTCCGTGATATTCAGCGTTTCCAGCGGCACATCCGACTCGGTTCGCGACTCGTACTGGATGTTTCCATCGTCGGTCTGCACCACGCGACCCCTTCGGCCCGTCATCTCGGCCACGTTGTCCGGTCCGCCCAGCTCGTCGATCAGCTGGTCCAAGGTGTTCGGCGGCAGCCGGGAGCCCAGACGCTCAATCTTTCGCAGCAGCTCCTCCTTCATCGTGCAGGCCCGCTCGATGGCATCCTTGGGCGGCGGCCCGTAGTTCAGCTTGACCCCGTTCACGCCCACCGGCGTCACCGTGCCCTTGAGCTCCTGCTTCTTCTGCAGCAGATCCTGGATCTTGTCCTGCGTCGACAGCTGCGCCTTGCGGTTCTTAGCCGCATTCAGAGCGGCCACCACGGTGGCCGACATCGTCGTACTGCCACTCGGATCGTTGGCAGTCGAGGAGGAGGCCGACGAGCTGCTGGCCAGCTCCTTCTTGCCCTTCTCCTTCTCCTTCTTCACCTTCTTCTTGGTCTTCTTCTGCGTCTTCTTGGTGGACTTCTTGCTGCGCGCATTCACCCAGGGATCAATGTCGCTGTCGCTGCCGCTGAAGAAGGGATTGAAATCGGAACTGGCATCGCTGGCCACGCTCCGCCGATCGCTGTCCACGTCCTGATCCTCATCGTCCTCGTCCTCGTCGTCCATATCACTGCGCAGGTCATCATCATCGCTGTTTGCCTCGTCGCTGTCGCTGTTTCGATTCCGATTCCGCTTGCTGCCCTCGTCGTCGTCGTCGCTGTCGCTGTACTGCCAGGATCCGCTGCGCTTCTTTTTCTTGCTCTTGCCGCCCGCCGAGGAGCCGTTGTCATTGTTGTTGCTGCTGCCCTTCCGCTTGCCCGCCGCCGTTGTGCTCTGGCTATTGTTTCCCAGACTGGAGGTGGAATCGGCCAGGGAGGGCGTCTCGTCGTAGAGGCCAAGAATGCGATTGATGCGATTGCGATCGGGCGCCGGAAAGTGGCGCTCCACGAACGACTGGAAGACGCCTCTGTGGAGGATTTATAATGAGTATTTAGTATATATATATATAATATATTTTATAAGGAAGAAGATAACCCACTTTGCTGTGGAAACAAAGTCCGTCAGCTCGCCATCGTCCTTCTCCAGCTGATCCAGCGTGCGCGCCTCGCCCGTCGACTGCAGACCGATGACCACGCACTTGCCGTACTTGATGGACTCGCGGGCCACCAGCACCGCGTGATTGACCTTGGCCGCTATGCAGAGGTACTTGAAGAAGCGCTGGTGCGACGACCAGAACTGGCCCCACATCGTCTTCTTCATGCGGCTCTCGGCATCGATCAGCTCGGCCGCCTCGGTGAACTTCTGCATGGCCTCCACCCAGAGCTCCACCGACTGGTCGTAGATCTTGCGGAACTCCTTGGACAGCGGCACCTCCTCGATCTTGAAGCTGACGCCCTTGAAGCTCAGCTGGCGGGCGATGTACATGCCGCGCAGCTTCATGTCCATGGCCACGATCTCCATGGCGCCCACGCCGCGTCTCTCTACGGCGGTGATGAAGTCGTTGAAGTTGCCAAAGGCCGTGCCCTGTCCCCAGAGGCCCAGTCGCACCATATAGGCCATATTCTTGGGCTCCGAGGCGCCCGTCGCCGAGGCATAGACCACGCGCGCCTTGGGCAGCTTGTTCTGCAGCTCGAGGACCGTCTGGCCCGTCTTCGTAGGCTTGCCGGAGCCCACGGGACACAGGTTCTTGGCCTTGTGGCACTCGTCGAAGATGATCAGGCCCTCGAAGTCCTCGCCGCACCACTGCAGCAGCTGCCGGAAGCGGGATCGGTACTTGCCCGTCTTGTTGTTCGACTCGCCGATCAGGGCGGAATATGTGCTGAAGATCACGCCCCGCTTGCAGTTGTTGTTCACGTCGGAGCTGATCTTGGCGTACTTGAACTGAGGATAGAATACATTGTGTTAGCAGGAGGTTAATCACATCAATGGAGTGTATATTATAGCCCTACGTGAATCATTCAAGTTTTGTTTTATCATAGTGTGTTATGAAATTTCTGATTTGTTTAATTCAATTATATGTGAAATAAATTGAATGTTTTTCTAATTCATTTCAAATTGAATGAATGAATGAATAATTTTTATGCATTTTTTGAATTTGCCTGATTTTTTTTAGCTTTCTTTTGAGAACAAAAAGTGGAAAATTTGTAACAAATCAATGTTAACTGCTTAGAAAATAATAATAAAATAAAATAAATATAATAAAATAATAATTCATGCAGATTTAACCTTTCTTCAAAAGAAATTGTCGTTTGAATTATTTCGGAATTCATGCCATTCATTCATTCAATTATATTAAACTCAAATTTCAAATTCCTTCAATTCTATTAAACTCAAAATTCAAAACAATTCATTGAATCCATTCATGCAGGACTCTAGTTTATCTATCCACCTTGTTCAGGGCATGCACATCGATGCGCGTGGCCCCGATATCGCTGAGATCCCGCTCGGCATCGTACTTGAGATCATTGGACACCGATATCCACAGCGCCTTCTTGCGCCCCTTCAGGTAGTTCTCGTAGATGATCCCGGCAATGGTGCGGCCCTTGCCCACGCCGGCTCCGTCGCCGATGAGGAAGCCCGCCCGACTGCCGTCCGGCAGCAGGTGATCGTGCGCCTGCGAGGCGTAGGTGATGGACTCCAGCTGCAGGGCGCTCAGGTGGCCGCTGTTTATCGTCTCGTGGGGCAGCGACAGCTTGTAGTAGACGTCGCAGGGCTCCACGGAGCTCAGGGAGGCGGTCTCCACGACGGCATCCGGGTGCTTCTTGCCCAGTTTCACTAAGGAACGAAAGAGTTGTTCGGTAAAAGGGTAATGATAATGGTTTCTAAATATAACTCACACTTGGCTGGCCAGTAATCCGCATAGGTCTCGGCCACTCCCATCTCCTCGTAGTCCACCTCGTCCTCCTCCTGCTGCACATAGGCTGCCGCCGAAGCGTGGGCCGCCGCTGCCGCTGCCGCCGCTGCTGCTGCTGCGCTGGTGACCACCGGCTGCATGGGAGCAGGTGGCGCCTGGGGACGCTGCTGCTGCATCGACTGCATGAACAGCTGGAATACATTGTTCGGTATGCCGCTGGTCAGGTATTCGGGATTCATGGCGATCAGCTTCTGGACGGCCTCCATCATCGAGTTGTTGCCCTTCACTCCGCCTCCGGCTGCACTTGCTCCTCCTGCTGCTCCTCCTCCGCTTCCTGCGGTCGTGGCCATCGGAGGCTTCTGATTGTTGCCAACGATTCCTCCTCCTGCATTTCCGGCCATCTTGAAGGCGCGAATGGGCTGAACTCCGCCCGCATAACTCACTGCAAGGTAAAGGGTTTTCGGTTTTGGGTAGGTCGTTTGGATATTATTCGGGTTGGGGTTAATTCATTTAAACACCGGTCACCGGAGTGAGTGAGAGGGCAGACATCGAATGGAAAGAGACAGAGGAACAGAGGCGGGTGCGCGGAGAAAGAAAGAAAGAGTTTTGTTAGTTGGGATAACATTAATTACATGTCAGTATTCTTATAGAGACTAAGAAATCTAGTTTCATTGGGGAAATTATAGGAACCAACTCAATCCACATTTAAATATACATTCACACACATCAAGGAACGCTGCTTTTAACTTTTAAATTATCGATATTTTCGATATTATTCGATAATATGGATGTTTTAAATATAGATATTTTTCAAGCTCCAATTTGAACACTTTACTATCGAGATGGTTTCGAAAATCATTTACAAAATGATGTTATAAGAAAACTTAAGAACTTGAAAATGATCGATATTTTCGATATTATTTGATAGTATTGATGTTTGTAAGAAAAAACACATATTATAATATAGAGATATTTTTTCAAGCTCCAATTTGAACATTTTACTATCGAAATGGTTTAAAAAATCATTTTCAAAATGATGTTATATGAAAACTCAAGGGAAAATATACGGGATTTCCTCCAACAGACAAGCAAAGCAGTCCACATCCCTAAATGAGTTAGCTAACTAAAAAATTATAATTCCCTAAAACCTTCGAAACTATTTAAACAGAAAAAGAACAAAAAATTCCACCGAATCATTATATTTTTTTCAAATTGAGGTGAACTTTGAGAACTGTGGCTCAGCGAACCAATCGTCCGGCTTCGAAACGAGTGGAAAACTGTCGCACTACCGAAGAGGGGAAGATCTCCATATTCCCCGTCCAGTAGGTCTCAGCCGTAAAGAGAAGCCGGATCGATGGGCCGAGGCTTGGGAACTTTGGACAACGATGCTCGATGGGCACGGGGCCAGTAGCGATTGTTCCGGTTGAGGTGCAGGGAGAAGAGCGACTTCTTCAGCAGCACCAGATTGACCTGGAACTGCATGCGCTCGCGCTCCTTGATAATGTAGCTATCCTCGGGCTGGAGGTCCTGATGCTGGGCGGCATCCTTGCGCTGTTTCTTGTGTCTTCGGCGTTTCGGAAGCTCTGGCAACTGGCTTTCGCTATCGCTGACAGCCTGGCCGGTGCAGCGGGGATTCCGAAAGATGACATCAGTGGTGGCCTTAATCTTCTCCGGCCTTTTGGATACAGTTAGCAGTGGAGTAGGAGCAGGAGAAGGAGCATCATCTGGTGGACTCTGCACCTTTTTGGCCGCTCCCTCGTCCAGCTGGAGCTTGAAGACCGGCCGCAGGTTCTCCACTCGCTGCAGCAGCCTCTTCACCAGCTCCACAATCTCCCTGAGATTCCCACTCGAATTGGCCTCCAGTTTGGGCAGCAGATCCCGCTGTATGAGCCGCTCCATCCGCAGCAGCCCCTTCGAGTGGATGCTGTAGAAATCCTTCATGGCCTCGGTCACCTTTAGGTCGATCTCCTGCTGCACTTGCTCCCAATTGGCCTGGTCAAGTGGGGGAATGGGTCTCCGCTTCTTGGCATCTTGCGTGGGTTTACTAGTGCCCGGCACATCATCATCGTCGTCGTTTTTGTGGCGTGGTAAGCTGTCCATCCCGAAACAGCAGAGTTACAAAAAAACTTAAACTTTTAATCAACTAAGTAAATTTGGAATTTTGAAGATTTTTTTTGGTTTTCTCAAATATACACCTCTATTTTTTACTCGTTTTTTTTTTGTGTTATTTTTTCTTTAGTTGTGTTCACCTCGACGCATGTTATTGGATTGAGGTTGGACTGGGAAAATCCTCGAAACAAAAGACAGACGCCTACTGTTTTTACTCTCTAAACTTTTCCATGAGAACCTGATTAGATTTTCATCTATAAGAGCGGAAAATAAAAATACAAAAAAATACTCCTAATAATTTTTATCCCTACCTTTCTAGATCTCTTACCTTTGCAACTATGAAGTATAAAACATTTCCCTAAACAGACAGTTAGATTTCGCACATTTCTCATACACACTACTACGCACTACATACTATATATATTTTTGTTATTCGTAATCTTAGGTTTCTTGTTCTTTGAACGAACAATGGGATCGTTTTCTTGGTTGTTACCAACATTAATCGACTTACTCTGCGCCAATAAAGACGCGGCCATATTGAAATTAGCAGCAGAGGCTGAAGTGGAGGCCGCCGCTCCTCCGCCAAAGAAGTGGCCACCGGGGGGCGAGCTCCTCACCGAATTGGCGGCCGTGGACGGCGGCGGAGGCGGCGGGGCGCTGCTACCCTTGGCGGCCACGTAGGCGGCCAGGTTCATCAGTTCGTTGGTGCTGAGGCTGTTCAAATAGCTGCTGGTGGACCCAGCGGCGCCAGCAGCGGACGACCCACCACCAGTCATCCCGGCATTGCCGCTGCTCCTGGCCGCTGGACTGCCCATGGCTAAAGGACCACGATGTCCAGGAGGAAATCGGAAATAACGAAACAAGGGAACAACAAAAAAAAAACAGCCAAATCCGAAAAGAACAGAACACAAACCATACAAAATGGGTTGGGGGAATTATTATATATTTTTTTTGGGTGGCGGGAATATATAGATAAGTCGGGGGAAAATCAAGAAAAAGCAAGATACAGTGTTCAAGTGAAGAAATAGAGAGAGATAAAGATAAAGGAAGAGAACAACACAAGCAGCATTAATTAGTGTGATCACAGCAGTCTCTATAAAGCCGAAAAGCGAGTGCTGCCAACTTTTAGGTATTCCTTTAGGGTTTTATCATCTATTTATTATATTTAAATTATTCAGAATAACTTTTAAATATAAACAAAAATATTGGAAAACATTTTCTTAGATCTTAGATTTCGTTTGCTTTGATAAAATAAAAAGATACATTTATTTATATCCTGTAAAATCATTCCTTTTTTTTAGTTTTATTGTTAGTTTTATTTTTGATTTTGAATTTTTGTTAATTACAGTTTTTATAACAAAGTATTTAAAAATCTAAAAAATAAACTTTATAATAACTAGTTTTATTCGACCAAGTTTCGATTAAATTGGCAGCACTGCTGTTTAAATATATAATTCGTTTTTTGCTTCGCCTGTGTGTTGTGAATTTTATTATTATTGATTTAATTGCACTTACCCGTTATTGCGTTATTCAGTTTCTTTGGCATATTGTTTAAATTATTCTCTATCGCTACTTTTCTGGGTATTATCGGTATCGCTGTGATCTTTCCGCCCAGTGCCACGCCTCCAACCGTTGACGTGCCGCCCACTATGGTTGGTTTTGTTGCTGTTGTTGTGATTATCTGACGCACGGCTGTGTTGTTGTTGTTGCTGCCGTTGCTGTTTGTTGTACTATTAACGCTGGTAATTATATTGTTGTTATTGTTATTATTGTTGTTGATGCGCAACAACGAAATTGGCTTGATATTGTTATTGCTTATAACAATTTTGGCGCCTGTGGGTATGGGAATGGGTGTACCGCCCTTGGTAGCCACGCCCACTCCGCTGCGGATATTTTGGGCGTAGGTAACGGCGGTATTCAGATCGCGACCACCTCCTAAAAAATTAAAAAGAAGAAAATAAATAAGTATGGAAAGTTTCGATAGGTTTTATTAGGGGTTTTAAAAGTTTTTTCAGTTGGTTATAATATTTCTATAATCTTTATGGGAAATCTTTTAATACTATTTTATTTTTTCTCTGAACATAAAATATTATTATTTTATTTAACATTAACACTGGCCATTTATCAAATATCACAAACGTGTTTAACTTTCTCAATAGTTTTTATTAGCTGGTTTCCATGTTTCTCAGTTGATTATAAAATATTTATAATAATTTTTAAAGATCTTTTTATAAAATAAATACTATTTCTTCTATTTCTCTATGTTTAACATTACTCATTAACATTAATGAAAAATCACAAACGTGTTTAAGTTTCTCAACCAGCAATAACTAATATACAAATAAATCACATGGCCAACGAATTTGTATTGAATCATTAATGTTGCTACCTTCTTAGTCTCTGAAGCACGTGATTCCCCGCCTGCCGTTGTTTGTGTGTGCGAATATTTGATAAAATTTGCACACATTAGCCCCCTCCCCGTTCATTTGATACAAATCGAAGCCTTCTGCGTTCCGAGATTCCCCATGTGCGCTGCACAAAGTGCAGACATACCCAACCCGAATGCTCAGCACCACCCTCATTTAAGGTAAATATCTAATTAATGAGCAAAGACAGCAGTACATAAGGTGGACCTAAGTATGTGCAATGCCCATGTACGACATGAGGACACGAAAAGGGGAAAGGTCATGTGGCTGATACATAATCATAATTATATGTGCAGCCAGGCACACAGATGGACAGATGGATTTGTCCATATAGCCCATGTACTGGAAATCGTGTAAGGAAATCGTAATGCGTTAATGCCTGTAATGGACGTCGCCGCGGTCAAGACGATGGCAACAAATCAAATGCAATGCGACTGGTCGACCGCAGGATGCCAAGGGCTCAGATTCAGATTCAGATTCAGGCATTTCCACGAAAAGCGCATTGAATCAGGAAATTGCCAAGCCAAAGATAAAACCAACAAGCAATTGGTATATAATTATGTAATAAAGATAACATTGATTTATTATATTATTTTTAACAATAATAGATCATAGTAATATTAATAACAAAATGTCACATATTATATATGAAATACAAATTCTTAGTTCCAATTTTGAATGCAAATAAATGTTTTAAATATTAATATTATATTATTTATACTTTTACTCTATACTAAACACATTAAACATATAATCAAAGAAAACATAAATGGAACAAAATATTATATTTAAAATTATTTTTTTCTTGTTTTATTTGGAATTGATAATAATTAATATTTTTAAAAAAAGTAAGTTTCATCTCTTAATTGAATTATCTACAATGGATTCGATTTATTATTCTCACATGTGCGCACACACCTGTCGGGAAACTCAACGTTCACTTTTTTCACGCTCGCGAAACCCTCGAAAGGAACTTCTAAATAATTGACGATATTATTTCAGCTATTCTTTTCGATCCAGGGACCTCATAACTTGGCCTTCGATTGCTGACGACGGACTGGTGGGGAATGGTAAACGAGTTTAATAATTTACCGCGCGATGTCCAGTCCACGGTTAATGACGCACGGAACCACTGGCTCCTCCCGGATGTGGCCATATAATCGGGGTTATGTGCAGGGGGAATCGGAACCCACGCCTTATATGAGTGATGCACAGTCACAATCACGGAAATATAAGCACATATGTGCCTATAAATACATATTTATGTATTATAATTCACATATAGGCCGTTATATACATCGATATCTTGCAGATCTGAGGCAAACGGAGCTCAAGGCTCGACAGGACATCCTCGGACTCCTGGACAGGTGTGCATATGCATCTGTATCTGTATCGGTGTCTCAGGGCACGGTAATTTCATTAATGTTTCAGTGCACTAATGCAAGTGGCCTTTTAATTAATGTTGGTTAGATGGCAAATCAATTGAACGACTGGGCTTCGGGCCTCAAAGGATGGGTTTAGGGATTTCACAGCCAAGTTGGCATAACTCATTAGGGGCATTATAAAGGGACCACAAAGGGATGGGCGAATCCTTTGATTTGCTGGTCATGTATTTATGCAATTTTCCAATTTAATTGAAAATATGTTTACTCGGTGAACAAACCCATCAGGAAATTCCCCAACGTACTTGTTGATTTAGGTAATCAGCAGAGTTCGGGTATTTGTATGACTTTAGTTGTTAAATTTACATAAAATAATATACATTTCGGAAATGACTAGGAATTACTAATTAAGTATTACCTTTTCCACAAATTTAGTCATTTTCAATATTACAAAGTTTCAACCAGAGATTTTCCAACTATTCTAAAGAAATATTTATCTTGTATTGGTCGTTTGGAATGTATTCGAAAACTTCACTTGTTCCGTGTAAAGTTGATTGAAATGCCAACTGAATAAGTTATTTCTTGACAAAGGAACTCCTCCAGCTCAAATCCCTCACCTCAACCCCCTTTTAGTAAACTACCCCTTTGCTTTCCCCTCTTCGAACAAAATCCCTCCGCCCGGCAGCCCAAAAAACTATACAAACTTCCCACTTGGCTGGAAAACTGCAGCCAGTGGGGAAGCAAAGCTCACTCCCCCCACAAAAATGAGGGGCTGGCTACCTATAAAATTGTTGTCTAAACAATAGAGCACCGAGTGCTGCTGCCTTTCCCCACCCTTTCCACCCACCCTTCCGCTTTTCAGCCCTCAGCCAAATCCCTTTCAAAACGAACCCACTTTTCAGCATTCATTGCAGGCGAAAGGCATAAGCTTCAGGTTTAAGGCTTCAAAAGTAATATGCGAATGCTAAGTGCGACGACTCACCGGGCACTTCTATTTGATCTGGATCCTCGTCATCGTCGAAATCGGAGCCCGAATCGTCCTCTTCGAAATTATCATCGTCGTCATCGGCGTCCAACAGGGTTTTTCTTTTTTTCGACGTCTGTAAGTAATAAGATTTAGGGAAATATTAGTTTAAAATTTTAGGTATCCAGAAATTAAGATATTTTTTGTTGATGCATTTATTAACACAAAAAAAAATTAGTAATAAAATGTTTTTTTATTTTAAAAAGTAGAAATTCCATTTGAAAAATTTTAATAATAAATAAATAAATCATATGTCATCATTTAAAAAAATCTTTTAATAGCTTTCCATATGTATTAAATATTTATAATATATTTTCTCAGTGCACCATTGAAACGCACGACATCGCGAATTAAAATCGATATTTTCATAGTTCCTTAGTTCTTGTGTTGAACTCAAAAATAAACGCAAACACTCGAAAAAAAAACCCCAAAACTCAGGGGGATTCACACGAAAAAAAAAACACTGACTAACGCACACACACAAAAAGATAACGAAAACGAAATAAAAACAAAGCGGAAAAAATGACACAGAAAAGCACACGAAAAAAAACACCGCGTATATTTTCGTAGCACACTTTTGAGGGCCAACGAATGAGCGGGGGACTTCCCCGAGTGTTTAGAAAAAACGGCACGAAAGTACGAGGAAAAAATTGCGCACGCCGCGTGAAAAAAACTAGGGGAAACCCCCGAATGCAAACAGAAGGAAAAAAGTGGACCTAAAAAATATATATAGATAGGGGGGAGCACACTCACAGAGTTTTCGAGGAAAAATCGCAAGGACCAGCAGTCAGATGCTTTTCATCGCCGGTGCGATGAGGTTCTGCGGGTTCGGTGGGATCCTTCTGAGACTTGAGAACCAAGAAAAACAACTCTTTGTCCACAAAAGATGGCCACTACTTTTGCAGAGTTGAGCTGCGAATTGTGCGACTGGTTCGATGCTCGTGTGGGAGCCAACTACCCAAAAAGCTCAGCCGGAGTTCGAAGACCGGAGTTGTCGAGCGAACAGAACGGAACAGAACAGCCACGGGCCACTTTGCCAGGCACAGGCAGTTTCCCAGTTTGCAATACCCCCCAAAAACAAACCCAAAATGGAAATTTCAGCCAGCGAGCAGCCGGGCTGCAATTTTTCGGCGGCCAGCGACAGGGGAGCGGGTTAAACGGGGTTACCAACGGGTTAAGCAGGGTGTTATGGGTGTTACGCTCGTTATGGGGTGGGTTTTTGGCCAACATATCTCTACGGTCAGAACGGCGACGGCGACGACGAAAGGCAAGCAAGAACGGAGAACGGAGAACATAGAACTGGGAACAGGACGATAAACAAACGCGAGAGGCCAACCCCTTGCCACCCCCTAAATGCCAAGGACACAGTGGGTTAAGGTGCATTCAACATGTCCTAATTTTTTACTGTAAAAGTTTAATTAGTAATTTCGATAATTATAGATAGATTTATATTTTAAGATATTCAATACATTTATTTATTAAAAAGCAATGATTCAATTTCAAGTTTTTTTTTATTGCCCAAAATATTATATTAATTTATAGGTATTATTACAACCATCATTTGTTTTTGATTCCGACTATGCAAAATGATAATGGGAATTTAAAAAAACTCTAATCTACTAAATTTAATTTGGGGAACTCCCTATTTGCGACCACAGTGCTCCACTTTGGCCTGAAAAAGGGGTTGGCATTTTCACACCCCCACTCCTTCGCTCCCCTTCCCTTGGAAATTCAACGAAGTAGCAGCAACAAAATGTTTGGCATGCAGAGATACGAAGTTTCCTACTTTATGCGGAATATGCATGTGTTTCCTGCTCCCAGAAACCACCCCCCACCCTTCTATCCACCCCCTCAACCCCTTTGAAACAAAGGGTTTTGGCTCAGTTGGCAGATGAAAGAGGACGAAGAGGGGTTGACCAGGGGGTTGGGTGGGTTAAAGAGAGGGGGGCTTTCAAATTGGAGGACACGAGGAGCAGCAATCTGTAGCGCATGCACAGCAATTAGAGCAAGACAGACTGCTGTGGATGTGGATGTGGATGCGGATGTGAATGTGGATGTGGGCATGTCCTTGGGGGAAGGAGGACGGGTGGCGACGGACCTGGTTGGCTCGTTCGCTGGCTATATGCGTCCATATATACCTTGTACCGCTGTGTACTCCGGGATCAAGCAACTGGCGAGGGACTTGGCCCAAAAGCAGCGCAAACAGAACGAACCGAGCCTAATGGATGCAGTGGAAACACAGTGAACACTCGCTGGGAAGAACCTTGAATGCAGGTTCTATAGGAAACAACATAAAATCGAATCGAGTACATTTAGGACCTTGAAATTTTCGATTTATCAATATTCTTATATAAAAGAAAAGTAAAATAATAAATATAAATGTTCCTATTTTGTTTTCATTATTATTTTTAAACAAAATAAGACTTTAATTAATAGTTAATTTATCAGTATTTTTCTGCTACAATAATGTATACAACTTAGTAAATCAGGTTTCCAATATTACACCTTTTAAATCCTTTCAAATCAAGTTCTCCACCCAATAATCACTCCCATAGAGACCCCAACTCGTTAATTTTACCCCCACACCAACCTATTTATAGATTGCAACATTTTTGTTGACACACAAAATAAAATCAAAACGAATGACCTTGCAACAAGGGAAATGTAGAAAATCTGTGGCCAAAAACATGTGTTCTCCACCACCCCCCACCCACTCACACAAGAAGCAACATCAACATGTTGATGCTAAAGAAAAAAAATGGCATAAAATACAAAAAAAAAGGACCAACATTAACCCTTATAAAAGGGGGTTGGCGAATTCCAAAATAAAAACAAAAGGCGCGGATAAAAGCGCACAAAAAGGACACAAAGAGCAATTAAATAAAACGTGAAAAATGATACAAAAAGAGCAGGGGAGGGGAAGAATCGGTTAATTTCAGGGACCCAGGGAGTTGGCAATTTGAAGTTGACCAGGCCGAGGAAAACTCGAAAGGCGCAGGCGCCAAAAAACTTGGAATGCAGTGGCCAAAGCGGAAACGGCGATAAATAACACGGCTCGAAGGACCTCTCGCCCACACCCCCAATCAAAGAAGCCCAGACTGCAGCAGAGGAAAAGCAGCGCAGCTTGTGGGAGGGGCAATTCGCATTTCCCGAGATGCATTTCCCAAATGCAGCAGCAGTAACTGCAGAGCTACAGTGAACACCCCTCTCCGGGGATTCCCAAAAAAAAAAAAACGGGATGTGCGTGAGCGGTTCGAGTCTCGACTAAGCGTTGCCCACTCCTTGCCGGTTGCCGTCACCGCTGAGCAACAAGTGACAGGGAAAAAGGAAAATCTAAAAAATGTTGTTAAACATTAAATATTATTTTAATGCCCATAAAAAACAAGTACAAATCGTATTTATCATATTGCAGCATTTGAAAGTACTTAGTAAGACCACCATTTGATTATTTTATATTATATATTATTATTTTAAGACACAATTTTTGAAATTTTTTATTCGTAAAAATGTTTGACATTTCGAAGCTAACAACCTTCGATTGGTTAACCATGAACACTAGAAAAGCATTTGCCATTTAAAGATATATTATGACTTTAATATTAAACTTGGCTAGTATACAAATAGTTAGCAATTGTCCCAAACTAAAAAATATTCAAAAACATTCCAAAAAAATAAGAAATTTTCCCTCAAAAAACTATGCTTTATGCCAAGTTCATAATAATAATAAGGCTGTTTCAGAAATCGGAATACCTAAAACCATTAATTTAAATATGCATATCGAAGATTTGAAAAGTTTTGATAGTTCTGAAAACAGTTCCGCCCCCTTAAAGACTTTTGCAGCTAATAACCTAATGATGCTCGACACCCCCTTCCCCTCCCCTCCACTGGCTTTAACCCACATGTTGCCCCCAGTCGCATGGCCTTAACCCTAACCTAGCGCAACTTTTGTCGACTGAATTCGCTTAACTCGTGTGCGGACATAAAAAAAAAACGCCAACGCCGAGCGTGTGCGGGAAAGAGAGGGGCTGGCGAAGAGTGAAAAGAGAGGGGGAGAAAAACACATGGTTCCAGGCCACGCGAAAATGCGAATCGAAATGCGTCCTTAGAAATATCTCGAAAAAAAAAGAAACAATTGCCGAAAAAAAATCAAAGCGTAACAACAAAGTGCAGCGGAAGGTGAGCGTGTGTGGGTGGGCGAAGGAGGTGGGTGGGAGGGAGAGAGAGAGGTGAAGGAAAAACAACAATTATTATTATTGAATGAGCTGCTTCTGCAGGCGCTTTGTTTTTGTTTTATGCATGTGAGTGTGCTGCTGCTGGCCCATGTGTGTGTGCGTGGAAAATGGCAAAATTTAGCAACAAAGAAATTGTATTAAGTCATGCCAGCAGAAACAGCGGTGGCGGCTGCGTCGGCGGCAACAACAAACAAACAAACTTACCATTTCGAAGCTCCAATTGCTAACTGTTCTTGTTGTTGTTTTCGTTTGTCACTCCAATTCTGGCTGTTGTTAACCGTTAACCACAAAAAATAAGCACACACGCGTTTTTCGCCCTTTTGTTTGTTTTGTCGTTGCTGCCGCTGTTGTTTTTTCCTTATTTTCGAGAAAGAATTCTCCTTTTTTCGAGCCGTCAGCGAAAACAGAACGATTGTGCGGCCAGCCAGTCAGCAAATGCAGCGAAAAAAAAAAATACTCCGCAATAAGTGTTTTCAACGCGTTAGAGCTGCCGTTGTTGTTGTTGCTGCTGCTGCTGCCTTTGCGATAATGGCCGTGTGTGCATGTGTGTGTGCGTGTGTTGCTGCACGCGGTGTATTCGCTTTGAAGTCTCGCCTCTTTGGATATTTTGGATGTTGCTGCAACGCACAATCACTGCACTCGATGCAAAATGCAACAACACTCGGAATCGGAATCAAGGAGGAAGGAAACGAGAACGAGAAGGAAGCGAGGAAGCCGAAAACACACGCACACGTAACACAGTGTTGCCAGATGGAAATGTTGCTTTCGTACTAAACAATCTCGATATTTTCCGCCTAAAAAATCCAGTGAAAAAATCTGTTTCATTACGTTTTAAACTATCGATTTTGACGATGTTTTTTTTTTATTGTGCGAGAAAAAAAACATTTAAAGATATTTATAACAATAAGCCTGCCTTTTGTGTTCAACAAAATAAATTTAAATTTGCTTTACTTCAGTCGATAGCTATCGCAGTGCGGAGGAGCTGGAATGCCAGGGCACGCGGTCTGAGCTGGACCATCGATACAAATGGGTCGTATCGATATTTCCGAGTTGTGGCTTTTTGTATGGCACCCCCTGCCGTTAATTTGCTAAATTAATTTTCTAAATAATCCAAATGCTTATTTTAATCGAAACCCTTTAAATACAATTAATTTGTCACACTTACCAGCCGGCTTGTCTCTAGATGCGGTATGTTTTCGGTATTTTCGTGCCGCCGGTTGCCACATTTTTTCGCAAACATCGATAGCACGCGCAATCGGTTAGTTTTTTTTTACCCTATCACCACATGTGTGTTGTTGCTTTGGCATCAAAATTTGTCGGTAAGTCTGCGTTTCCCGCTTCGAATTTCGCCAGGAGAGCCTTATTATCGTCCGATTCCAGAGTGTCCGCATCGCTGACCGCTGTTGAGAAAGGAAAGGACCAGGAATCAGGAATCATAGCTAACAACATGCCCAGCGACACGGTGGTGAAGGTGCAGGAGTACAAGGACTCGCTGATCCTCAAGGCCGAAGTGCTGATCACCAAGCGCTTCCCCGAGAAGATCGTCCAGCTGAACGAGCTCCTGGCCACGCCGATGTTCAACGAGCGCAACTTCGAGGAGGTGCACCAGGACCTCAACATCCCGGCCCTGCCGCCGGTGCTTGTGAAGAACCACGAGGATCTGCAGTCCGAGGACGGCGACCATCCGCCCACCAAGCGGCAGCGCAAGGATGTCCTCGTCGCCGGCCAGCCTGTACTGGCACTGCCCGCCGGCACGGTGCCGTGCAACAAGCCGCTCTGCGAGATGATCAAGGTGGTCAAACCGATCATCAGGAAGCTGGTGGAGGATTGTGAGTGCCAGTAGTTTAAATATATCCCTTAGCACTTACTTACCCTACTTTTCCCCTCCCGCAGCCAATCTCCTCAAGATGTGGATCTCCTTTATGATACCCAAGATCGAGGATGGCAACAACTTTGGGGTCTCCATCCAGGAGGACACGCTGGCCGAGATTCAGACAGTGGAATCCGAGGCGGCCGCCTTCTTTGACCAGATATCGCGCTACTTCCTGTCGCGCGCCAAAGTCGTGTCCAAGGTGGCCAAGTATCCGCACATCGATGACTATCGGCGCGCCGTCGTCGAGCTGGACGAGAAGGAGTACCTCAGTTTGTGGCTGGTCGTCTGCGAGGTGCGCAATCGCTACTCCTCGCTGCACGACATTGTGATTAAGAACCTGGAGAAGCTGAAGAAGCCGCGCTCCTCGAACACCGAAAGCCTCTATTAGGTATTCCCTTAAGCCCAAGTCTTCACTAATTTTTCGGAAGAGGGGCCTGTGTCCCAAAAATCACCAGAGATTACTAGCGTTTTCTTAGAAAATTAAGTGCAGAAGTTATTCCGCGGAAATGCATGGTTGCATGTTTTGAACCCAGCATTTTCGCAGCTAATCTTCCGCACTTAAATCTGTAAGGATAATTTTCTTTCGCGATTTCCGGGGCACAGGCCCCTCTCCCAGACTATTAACAATTTTTTTTTCCCATCATCCTACTTCTTGTTCAAGAAACAAATAAACAAACAGCCCGTAGAGCGGACGGTCAGCGGTTCTAGCGGCTACTCGAAAAGTTCAGCAACAGCCTCTAAATTTTCGGTTTAAAGACATACACGTAAGCTGTACGACAACAGAACAGAACAGAACCATTAAGCAATAGCTGTAGCCTATCTATCGACTTTATTGATCCATTTGTACTACGACTAGAATGTAATGCCGAGTTTAGCGTAGAATACAAGAAACCGATGCTGTATAGATTCCACTAATAGCTATATGCATATGAATAAATAAATCTAACGTTGCCCCGTCGAAGTCAACCGATGGCAGGACAAATCAGGACATTTGCGATTAATCGATCGGCGCGATGGAGCAGCTAAGAATTTGTAATAAAACGAAAACCTTGTGACCTTTTGGCAGAGTATTACAATTTTGGCTTGTTTTTTTGGTTTTCATGTATGGGATATTGGATTTCACAACTTCGCGCCAAAAATATAGCGAGGCCATATTTTGGGATTCCGCGATTCGATTCGATTCCTCATTCGATTGATACTTTACAACTGCGGAATATCGATAGGTTCTTCGGAGTCTTGCAGCACTCGGCTTTTGGATGGAGTTTGGTAAAGACAAAAGCGGAGCTTATTTTAAATTTCAATTTTAAAAACTAATTTTGCATTTAATTTTTACCAGAGTGCGTTTTGTATTTTTATCTTGCATAGTAATGATATATATAAGTAAACCTATTAATAAAATCACGAATAGTAACTATATTTTTTTAAGTGTGTCCGGCTCCATACTCGAGCTCACTGCTATAGAACTCCAGTTCGAACATGTTCGCTTCGAACTCCCGCCAAAGAGTAAATTCAAAACGCAGAATGTCTTTAAAAAAAAGGAATCGTATATTAAATAGATAAAGAAACATAATTACTATTTACAGCTAGTACTATCGAATTATTATTTACAACTAATTTAACTAGATCTCGACCCCACACATACATACATACAAAAACTAACATCTCTGGTGTTTTTCACAATTTAAAATAAAAACTCCCCACTTAAATTAGTTGACCGAAAAAAAGCGGAAAATTAACAAAATAAAGATAATCTTGCCGGTGTGTGCTAAATTCAGTTACTTGTGGATTATTTATAGCTATGCATTATGTTTGTGCTAATACTTTCGTTTTTTTTTGTTGTTTTGTTATTTTGTTTAAGACGTGTCCAGTACATTGGAATTACGGTTCGATTTCGAGGCACTTTTGATTTGTTGTTATTGGCAGTGTTTTTCTTTCTTGTATGCTATATTCGGAATTTTCGCTTCGTTCTCATTAGCTTAGCCTAACTTAGGCCTAAATCTACATATGACAATGAACATTTTTACACAGATTATCAACGTTTGGGTGCTTAGGTAATCTTTAGACTAAAGCTCAGTACCTGACATCAGCTAAATGTATCGCTATAAACGTAATATAAACTTTTATGATCCCACATTTGGAAAACTTTACAAATATTAAGTATTCTTTCGTTCTTCTTCTAAATCCGTCGAGGTTATAAAAGCACCATCGAATAGTTTTTGGTCATAGGATGGATGTATCTAGGCTCGGAATATTTCTATAGTTATTTATTTATAAAACTTAGACTTTTATAGGTTTTATGTGGAATCTTTTTAAAAACTTAGCCCCTCCGAGAGCTCTGAAGTACATACTCCCATTTCCTTTTTATTACACATTTATAATAGATTTAGCTGATGTCAATTCCCTCTGGTCTCCACATCCACTGAACTGAACTTAGCCCGCTGCATTAAGTAAACGAAATGGCACATTGAACCACAACCCACATGACCCACTGGTGACCCCGCTCCGATCACATGTGGTGACCCCACCAGGCGGCGCTGGCCTGGTAGTAGCCATCGTTTCCCCAGCTGAGGATGCTGAGCGGCGGCGGCGGCGGCGTCAGCGAAAGCACGTCAATTTCGCTGTCATTGTTCTTGTTGTTGTTATTACTACTACTCTTCGAATTTTCCGCATTTTTCCGCCAGCCATGACGTGGTCGTTGCGGAACCGGAAGCGGAAGTGACAGCTTCAGACGGCGTCGACGCCTCCGACGTCGCACCAAATCCCAGCCGACGGTGCCCTCTTGTTAGATACCGTGATGCGAATTCTTCGCCGGCGCCAAAAAGGGCTTCTCCTCGTTCATCTTCTCCAGATTGCCGCTGAGCGTCGGATCGGTGGGTCGGATGCGCTTGAAGAAGCCGCACTTCCACAGCAGATAGGTGAACAGCGCCAGGAGGAGCAGTCCGCCCACGATGCCAAGGATGATGATGAGCCAGGGTATCGAGGTGTCGCGCTGCTGGTTCCTCAGCTCCGGATAGGCACGCGTCTCCACCTGGAAAGGATATTATATAAGTCTGTTATATTATATTCTCAACGAACTCACCTCAATGTTGTTGTGCTCCATCACCTCGACGCCATAGCTTTCGGGTATTTGGGCCGTGGCCGTCGAGAAGATCCTGACCCTCTCCACGCGGGGATACTCGCTGACCAGCGTCGAGTTCCACAGGCGGGCCTTGACCACCACCTGGGCCTCGGACAGGGCGGGCATATTGAGGATCTCGCACTCGATGCGAACGCAGTTCGTGGCCCCCTTGTTGCAGTCCAGCTCCACGATGTCCTGCTTCTTGCCGCCGGTGCCCGCCGCATTGCTCGTCTCGGGATCGTACATCAGCCTCTCCAGACGGGTGACTCGCTCCAGGAAATTGCGACGCACTCGATTGCGATGCTGCGAACGATCCTCCTCGCGATAATAGGACCTCTGCGAGTGGATCAGACTCTTGTTGAACGAATGCCGCGACTGCGTGGGGAACATTCGCATCTGGGCGGGGGCAGTCAGGAAGGCGGCGGGACTCTCCCGCGAGCCACTGGCCAAGTTCAGGGGATTCACATACTCCTTGGCCACGTGGCACTCGCCCTGGCTGACCTCCACGGTGGGCACCTGCTCCAGATAGAGCAGATACTGGACGGGTCGACCGCTCTGCGGGTCACTGTACAGCGAGTACGGCCAGTGGATGACCATCTTGACCTTCGGCGCCGTCGAGGGTCCCTCGTTGAAGATGGTGTACATGTGGTGGACCTGCGAGCCCACGTCGTCCATTCCCATGGGACCGTGTCCCTCGACATCGGCCACCTCAGTTGTACTAACTGCCGAGGTAGCCACGCTCGATCCGCTGTAGAAACTCTGCTCGGGTATCGCCCAACCACGGAAGTTCAGCTTCGCCCGACGCAGCACATTCACCAGGAGATCCCTTTCGGGACGTTCCCGGCCCACCAACTTGGAGGTGGTATTGGCAAAGATGTGGAACAGCATGGACTTCTCGCTCGGCTCCAGTCCCTTTGGCTGGAAGCGTATGGTCACGAATGTGGTGGTGCCGCGCAGCATGGGATTGCCCAGGCTGCAGGCCACCATGGTCGTGTTGTAGCTGTTGCAAGTGGCATTCGTCTGGGGGTTAAACCATATAGTAGAGATGGGGTAGAGTCTTTTTTGGCTTGCCTGGACTTACCGGCTTCTTGGTGGCCACATAGGAAACTCCCGCCTGATGAACGATGAACAGCTGAGCTTCGTAGGCCGAGTCCGCCAGATTGGTCACATTGATGCGAACCTCCAGTTCCGTTTCGTCCAGGATCAAGGTGTATTCGTTGGCTGAAGAGCGAGGAAAGAAGAAATGGTGTTACCAGGATTACCAGGACTTCTTTCAAGAGGTCGGACTTACCCGAGGACTGAGTGATGTTCGGCTCCGCCCGGATAACCAGATTGCTCTCGCAGAGATCGTCATCGCCGCAGTCCTTCTGGAAGGTGCCCTCGAAGTCGATGTGCGCCTGGGTCTGGTCCAATATCGGATTGAGGCGCGTCAAGGCGGAGTCGGCCAGTGGCGGTTCCACCAGCGAGTACTTCAATCGGAAGCGCACCGGCGTCTGGATGTCACGGGTATTCGCCTTGATGTAGCCCGTAATCGCCTGGCAGTGCATCCTTCCATCCGTCTGCACCCTCACATCGCGACTGAGCACGTTGCTCCGCTTGTTGTCCCGATCGAAGAAGACGCGCGAGAACTTCTTCAGCTGATCGAAGGTCTCCGTCTCGACGCTGTACGACAACTGGAGCTCCTTGCTCCGCTCGTCGTACGGATCGATGCTGCAGCAGGCCTCGAAGGTGAAGCAGGTGAGATTGCTGCCGCGATCGGCGAGGCAGCCCGGTTTATTGGGATCCATGTTGCGCAGCTCGTCCCGCTTCACGTTCGTCTGGATGCTGATGATGGGTCGGGCCAGCAGAATTACCGCCGCCGAGGAGTTGAACGCTCCGATCACCACATCCGGATAGGAGTTGTCATCGAGGTCCGTGTTGCCCGATATCGAGATGCCGAAGGTGCGAATCGGCGGCTGGCCAGTGGGCATGGTGCCGCCCAGCTCCGAGGCCTGGATCTTCTGGGCCGGCTTCGAGTTGAGTCCCTGTCGCGAGCCCAAGTAGATGTAGACGACGCCATTGCCCTCGTACGGAGCTCCCACCGCCAGATCCTCGCAGTTGTCCTTGTTCAGATCCCCGATATTGGCCAGGGCCAAACCGAAGCGACTCTCCAAACTGCCCGTCAGCTTGAGCGTATGCTTCAGGGGCAACGTGTCCCGGTCATTCTGGTAAACGTACACCGCTCCGCCCTCCGTTTTGGTGAAGTACAGCGGGGCAGCGACTATCAGGTCCGGTCGATGATCGCCGTTCACGTCGGCGGTGGCCAGTTCGTAGCCGAAACTCGAGCCGAACTGCTCACCGTCCAGGGTCAAGTGAACCGGAATTGGGTTATTCGTGGACTTGTCGAAAATCAACACCTGTCCGTGGCCCTGCGAGCGCGGAGCTCCGGCCGCATAGGACATCTGGCCAAAGAAACGGCCACCGGTCACCGACATGCCCAGGTAGCTGTACTTCTTCACCTTCGAGCTGGTGTCCGAGTGATCACTGTAGTAGGTCGTCTTGTCGCGCTGCAGGTACTCCCCGCCCACCTGGGTCACCCAGATGGATCCGCGCCACGTGTACGGACCGGGGGAGCCCAATACCATGGTGTCGTCGTCCAGAAGGGCCGCCGATGTTCCCGCCTGGCACAGTCCGTAGTCCTCGTGTTGTCTATGGGGGGTGGGAAGAAGTCAAGAGGGTTAGGAGATTATAACACCATTATTGGAATACCTATATATAATCCTATTTGATCTAAATGTTTCAAAACTATCTGCCAAGTCATTACGTTCTAGTTAATTCCTCATTGATGTCAGTTTTCCAAAGACATATCTTTACCATCTTCATTAAACCCTCATTTCTGGGGGTTGGGAAGAAGTCAAGATGGTTAAGAGATTATACTACGATTATTGGAAGCCCTATACCTAGCCCTAATTCATTTTCAGAACATTACCATCACTATAAATGTTTGAATTCTATCTGCAAATTCATTACCATCATTTTCATGTTATTTGTTCCTATTTGTACTCAAAAAGAAAAAAATAAAAATAAATAAAAAAATAAATAAATAAAAAAAAAATAAACTTTTATTCCAGTTAATTCCTCATAGATGACAGTTTTCCAAGAACATATCTTCATTAAACCCCCTTGGCTTAGCCTATTCCCGAATTGGGACATTAATAGATGACCATGGTCAACAGAAGGACTCTTTGGGTGCCCGTATCTTTATTTCCGCGCCACTATTGCCTATTCCCGAATGGAGTTGGACATTAATGGATGACCAGGGTCAACATTTTCTGTTTTTTTTTCACCTCTTTCCAGCTATTTGTTCTTTTTTTATTTATCACCGACCCCTGCCTTTTCCCGAACCGAGTTTGGACACGCAAGTTTCAGCTCGATGAAAAATTGCATATTCAGAATGATGACAGGCCTTCAACCCAGGGAACCCCCACAACCTTTGACCCCCGTTCCCAACCGCTCCTTGATTTCGGTCATCATGTGGGTGCGGAATCTCCCCAAAGTTCTCATTCCCAGCGCTCCTGTCATTTAAATAAATTAAATTTCACCTTTATGAGTGTGCGTTTTTTAGCCTGCAACGACGTCATCGGTGTCACACTTGAAGTGGCCCTGCCCCGACCTCCTTACACTGCCACACACGCTGAATGCTAATTGGGCGAAACACCCCCGCATTATTCACCGCTGGAGATAATTCACCTTGACACTTTTCTTTTTTGTCTTTCGCTGCCCTGCCAGGAATACAAACAAACAAACAAACAACTGACCCACGTCAACTGGAAGGAGAAGGGAAAATGGGGTCTTATGATTACCTCAACCTGATCAATAAAGATAGCTATAGCGATGACCTAGGACAACCCCCTTATAAATATGAATTATGAAGTAAAAAAGATTCCAAATTTCTTGTTCCACAAAAGCCATTCCATAAGACTTTGAATTCAAATAAATTGTATAGTTAGCTTTTCTGCATGGTAACCAGAAATTAAAATATTTTGCAAATTCTTATCAGGTTTCGTACTTAAAGGTTTCTTTATAAACGTTAAAGTTCTTTTAGGAAATATAATGTTATCAATATTATAAATCGTGGTGAAGCGGAAATATAGCTGGTAAACTTTTGATTTGGATAAGGGATTCAAAAGGCAATCTTCAAGAAATGTGAAACCTTTTTAATTCGTTGAGAATCTAAGTACTCACCTTTGTACAGGTCGTCCTTTGCAGGGTTCATGGACCTCTTCGAACTGCAGATCGTTTGTAAGTAAATAGCAGAGACCTTGGCCATAGCGATTCTCCCGAACGATGTACATATAGCGATGGGCGCATACGACCACCTGTGACACAATAGAGAGTTATTAGACAATAGGGTTTTATAACTAGGTAAATATTTTTAGATATACTAGAAGTAAACTTGATATTTTGAGATATTTTCCAGAACTAAAAGCTTTATAAGATACTTAGGGATATGATTAACTCACCTTTCCACCGGATCCATTGGCTTGTAGGGGACTCGATCGCACCGTAACGCCCATCCATTGGTCCTCCTTGATTTCGTCATTACCGGGCGGTGAGAGGATTTCGCTATCGAAAGCTGAGCGAAGAACGGAGAACGAAGAACGAGGAGCGGAGAATTCGGAGTGCGAAGATTGTGGAGATCGCGGGCGAAAGAGAGAGAGTGCAGAGAGAGATATTCCAATGTTAGCAATTGCCAAAAAAGAGTTGCAAAGTGTGATCGTATGTGTGATTGTGTCTTGGTGTGCGTGTGTGTACAAATGTGTGTGTGTGTATATGTGCATGTCAGCAACAACAACAATAATATAACATCAACAACAACAACAATAACGGTAATAATAATTAATAACTTTAAAAAACTAAAAGTAGTATGCATTATCAACGGTATATATACATATGTACATATATACATATGGTAAAAACAACAGTAATCATTCACAAATTTACACATGTACAGTAGGGTGGTCCTTAATTTTTTTTTTAAATTTGTTTAATTAAACATATTTTAATGCACGATTTTTCCTCGGCAAATGTGCTATCTCCTTAACAATAATAATATATTAATTTACTATAAGTTATACGATTAAAGCTAATGCCAATTGTAGGTCATAAGGTCCACCCCAGTGTTTAAATCGAACTGAAAATCGAAATTGAAACAAAAGCAATGAAATGCAAATTCAAACCGACTTCGAACTCCCAACATTTCAATTATTTACAGCTGATTTTCGGGAAACATGTTTTTTGATTATTTCTTTTTTTTTTTGTAAGTTGGCGGCAAGTTGCACAAAGAGGAGAAGAAAACAGGGGGAGGAGAGGTAAACAAAAAATTGTTGATTAAACGAAGCATGAAACGAAGCAAAAGAGCGGGAAAACAAAAATGGAAAGCGCAGCCGCGAAAGAGAGAGAGCCGAACGAAATTGATTTAGAATGCATTTTAAAGCATCAAAGTGTTGAAATATGATAAATGATTATTACACTTGCAAGAGGGAGGGAGAAGGGGGAGAGAGAGAGGGGGAGTTGCAGTGCACAGGAAAAATATTCCAATATTTTGAGATTGATGGATTCCATTTGAAACTCATTTTCTACCATTTAAATGGAGTAAAGTTTAGAAAACAATGATTTTGCAAATACCCATGATAGTAATAATTTTCTAAATTAACTTATAAATACAACAAAAGTTTAATATTAATGATTTTTATCTATTTTCATCGCAATTTCTCTCGCTGTAGCGTTTTCTTTTCGGATCTTTTCGGTTGCCTCGGGGCGTGGGTCGTTCTTGACGGGTTTGACGCGTTTTAAAACGCGCCCGTCTGTCGCGTCTGCGCAGTGAAAGTCGCGCAGCTGGACGAGCCGCCCACTGCCCCTCCCCCTGCCCCTTGCCACCTTTCTTCTCTGCAATTTCCCCATTTTTCTGAGTTTCTGACATTGGTTAGCGACGAAAAGAATTCCGATTTCTGAAGGTAATGACGCGGGAAAAAGAGGGCATGGGCAATGTGCAGTAATGCAAACAAAACCTCACCCAAAACCCCCTATTTTCCCGCCCCCTTTTCTCACCCACCGAAAATTCCGAGCTATTTTCGCTCGAGAATTCGCATATGCGCTGTATTTTTTACAATTTGCTGTTATTTTTATGCCTTTGCCAACATTTGTTTTTGCCTTTCATTCGTACACAGCGAGAAATCAGCTAAAGTAATAACATTACTACCACATTTTTAGATTGTAATTATGAGGAATTTGTCCAACAATTTCTTGAATCTTCTTCAATCTTGAAGAAATAATAAAAAATAAGATTAAATAATATTAATAGAATATGTTTTGATTCCCAGTGAGACTTGAATAAATGTAAAATTTGTTTTCTGTGTAGCCGCTGTTCTGCATTTCGTTTTGGTATTTTTTTCTGTGCTCATAGTTTGAGAAATTTGTCACGTTCTTGGGCGGCGCCGTTGGCAAAGCCCACTTCTTGGTCTTTAGTAGGTTTTTTAGACTTTTCAGATGCTTCTTCTTCTTGCAGCGGCCACGCTCTGATTGCCAAAAGAGCGTTGAAAAAAATGCAGCCGACCCAGTTGCATTTTAACACTGGGGTGACAAAGGGGGCCATAAACACCCAGCTGGGTAAAAGAGCAAATGGATTTAAAAATACGAAAGAAATATTAAAAAAAATGTTTTTAAATGATATGATATAATATGACATCATTCAAATTCTTTGTTTTATAATGGTTTAATGGCGAGATATATTCGGTTTAATTGAAACCCCTAAGATTGTAATTTCATTTGTTACATTTGTATAACTCATTTGCTTTTAAATGACGCAATTCATCTATGTAGTACACAGCATGTTAAATAAAATAATTTATTATGTCACTGCATGGTGAATTTCTGGAAAACCGAATGACACCCTCTACAAGGGTGTTAAGTGAAGAACCCAGCTGTCAGGGCTTTATAATTAGCGCTAAATGAGTCGCCAATTGAAGCCGCCGAAAATGTGAAGCCACGTTTATGGGGCTTTGGGATTTTTCAAGAGGGCTCCCGTTCCCCATATTTCCCCTTACAGTTGAGTGAAAATTCCGAGAATCAGTTTGGGGCATGCTAAAGGAAATGGTTAACATGTGACGCCGATAATGAAGTTGTCGCTGGAATCGAAGCGTGCAAAAGGCCCCCAAACGAAAAGCTGGAAAAATGCTATCGGGTATTTGCTTGAAAATATTTAAGCCTAAACTGGCTAACGGAGACCAATTGAGGCGATTATTTTTATATTTATTTGCAAATAGTAATCAGAAAAACAGATGTTGACTTCAAGATTGATGACTTTCCAATGATATTCACAATATATAATTAAATATTTCATATTGTTGGTATAGATTGGTTAATAAATGTTATGGCATCTATTTATTTAACACTTTCCGTTTATCAAAAAAAAACCCAAGTACCTATTGCGACATTAAGCTCAAACAGTTAGTTATTGACTAAGTCATTTGAGTGCTTTCTTTTAAGTGGGTAAAAATAAATAGAAATTGTGATATAATAATAAATATTTAATAATAATATTTAATATATGTATAAAACATTAAATAACGCAATAGTACAGTTAAGCATAGGTATATTCAAACATTCATATGTGTATTTGTACAGCTAGATGTGTAATTTTAGAAAAAGTTACATAAGTAAATTATATCTGATTGCAATTAGTGCGCGCATGCGTGGAAGGTCAGTAAAAGTAATAGTAAAAGTAAGAGTGAGAGGGAGAGGAATAGAGAGAGAGAGGGAAGCAATATGGCGGCCATAGGCATGCGTGCGTGACTGTACATTCGGTGATTGCAGATCCTCAAGATTTGCTAAAGATATAGTATTTATGTACAAGCGATTTATTTACTTTTCCGGGGGAGGGAGTGAATGGGTGCACTGAATCGAAAGTATGTTTAATGCCGGGGTTAATTCAACACAAAATCAAATCAATAGGTGAACGAATCAAAGCGCAAACCAAAGGTATGGGAAACTGATTACGGCATACTGGTTATATATTTATAAGTCGATTGAATACTGAATGGGTGTTAGCGGTTGCGATGAGATGCTCGATTCCTGATCGGGAATCGGGTAATTGGGTAGTTGGGATCGGTTTTTGGTGGGCAAGACAACAATTAAAGCACCCAAAACCACTTACTCTTATTAAATTGAGTCTCATATGTTCCGTTCGCTAAGGGATCGTTCGTTCGATTTATCGAATGGCAAGTACCGAAAAGATTTGTCAGTATCAGTATTTTTGGACAGTTGGAGTTTAGGGCGGGTTAGGATTTCAGGTTGAGGTTGAGGCAGAGACACAAATGAATTTCCCAGTTATGCGCACCGAATACGAATTTGGATTTTGGCGGAACCAAATAGGTAAGGGGGAAGAGAACGAAAAATAAAAACATAAGAAAGAAAAAAGAGAAAGAAAGGTCAAAATAATTAAAAATTAAATTAAATGTAGTTTTCGATATCAGTATTTGTGTTTTATACTTTGAATAAGATGCTAGGACAAAAATTGGATATCTATACAGTAGGTATACTAAGGGATAATACGAGTATATACGAATAATTATAATGAGTGCTTGTCACATGAACAATCGATTCAAGGACTGATCGCTTGCTAAGTTAATCGTACGATTCAACAAATGATCGATAGGAGCGATTAAACAATTATTCGATGGGGGAACCCATTAAATAAACGGGGTAATTGATCACACGAAATTTTGGTAGCCATATTGATTCGGAGAAAACTAAATTTTGCACTTCCAATGATTTATCGAATTAATCGCTTGCAATGTCGCTTGGTTATCGATCACAGCATTCTCTCCTACTTAAATTTCTAAACAAAGGCGTTTGTTTAAATGTTAGATATGTTTAGTCACAGATCTCTGTACAGCAATCGGCAATCGTTTTATGTACAAATCGCAGACTAAATCGGGATCCGAAAACAAGATTGGGGCAAACTGAAAAGGCGAATTGGTTAGCTGGAATGAAGATTGGCCTGACCCATTGGCACTCCGGTTAGTCACTTGGCAGTTGGGAGCGGGATTCAGGATTAGCGGGGTTACCACCAAACCGGACGAGTTCTACGACTATAACTAGGTCTATAGGCAAATTGTATGTATAACTAAGACTGGCACAAGCCAATCGACCTTCACCAAATGGAAGAATGTAGACACAGGCTTAGAGTAGCAAATAAAGGGGGTACAGATACCAAAGCTTGGTTAGGAGTTATCGACTAACTTGAGATTATATACGTACTCTCTAATCTATATTTTTTATTTTGACTGCAAGTAAATATTTGAACCTAGGAACTTAAGATGTGAGCATATTTAAAAATATATATTTTTAGAGACTAAAGATCCTAGTTATTTTCAATACACCTAAGACAGGAGTCACTTACATCGCCTGCCATCGGTGATCACTTGTTCGCAGTCGTCGAAACTCTGTGTCATGGGACACCGCCAGAGGGCGCCAGAATGTGAGGTGTTCGGCTGTCGATTTTGATCCAGTGGAGCTCCCACTAAAACGCTGTAAAAATGAAATGACGAAATAGGATTAGTATATATATTTATTTTTCTCATAAATGTGAGATAACTTCCATATACATAGACAGTGCAATAGATTAAATCTCCTTACACAATTTTCATATTACTACTTATTATGTATTTATCAATGCCAAACTTTGTGGACTTTTACACCTAACTGATATTTTTGATTATATACCTCAGATATTTCGACTTCAGCAACACTTTGTAGACTTTAACACTAACGTGATATTTTCGATTTCCGCTCAAGTTGGAAATTACAGAGCTTAAATGCAAAACACCTGCCGATATATTCGATATATTAAGGTGTTGGTAAGCTGAGCTAACCGCAAAAACCTTCCAAGACAAGCGATCTGCGGTCAGTCGCACCTCGGATCTCAGATCTCAGATCTGCTGGGTTATAGTTACGAACATGCAGATATATGGTCATGTCCATCGACTAATTGCGGGTCACCACTTTGACTGCGACTGGTAATCGATTTGTAGGTGGGTTCAACTCAGCAACTCAGCGAAAAAGCGACAATTGCGACTTGGTTCAATGCACTTCAGTTGGCTCTTTGGATTTTACATTTTCGGGGCTTGGCCCTGCCGAAATGTAATTACTCCGGGGCGATGCGATAAACGTGCAATGCAATGTGGGTGGGTGTAGATTTGTAAAGGGGTCTTCAGGGGCCTGGGTGCGTCTGCACGAAAGATTTCGCTAATGAGCAGTCAAATTGCCAAGGAGTAGCGAAAATCCCAGCAGGATATGTCGAAAAATGATGGTGGAAGGGGCAAAGAACTTTAAAGTTTAATGGAATTCTAGGTGGTCAGCTAAGAATACTATGGTATGGGGTTGTAAATAATGCTAATGAAAATCGGTAAATATTTATTTCATTTAAAAATTACGAGAAGAAACGTGGCCAAAAAGGTATTGAACAAAATATCACACTAAATGGCAACAAAGTAATTCCGTCAAAAAGAGGGTGGTTAAATTGCAAGAGTAAAAAAAAACACCCACGTTCACTCGCTTAACGTGTTTAACATGAATGTTCATTATCCTGCAGCCGTAAGCTCAGCCATAACCCGCAGCAACAACAGCAACATGCAACATGCAACAACTGCCGCAGCAACAACTGAAACTTCTGCGACAACAACAGCTGAAATTGCCTGTACGACAACTGAAAAACACGAAGGCGAGGATTGGGTTTATGGCGGCCATTAAGTGGCACCTACACACCACCAAAGAATCATACACCGGAAAAAAAAGAAAAGACTAAATCTATATAGTTTTATACTTGTGAGGAAGAAAAAATATAATAATAAATTTAAATTAAATTTAAATCGGTCCTTTTTTTCATTATTTTTTTTTGTAATTTCAGAAGCTTTTAAATTAATCAAAACCAATGCAGTTAATATTAATTTCATTGTATTTTTTACCGTGCATCAAGCCTTAGCCATCAACCGTCACAGCAGCAACATCAACAGAAAAACCGAAGAAAAATCGAAAATAAAAGAAATCTTTAAGTGCCCAAAGGCAAAACTGGTGGCCAAATTGCCCATGACGGTGGGTGAGGGGCGTAGTGGGGGTGGTGCTGGGTGTGTTGGGTGTAGGTGGTGGCAAAATCAAAAAACGAACAAAAAGTAAGGAAAAGGAGCCGCTGCTTATGGGCGTGTTCCGAGTTATCGCTTTTGTCGCCTCACAATTGACACATTCTCTTGTTTGACGGTCTTAAAAACTTTAAAATTTCCAATGAAAAGTTCAGCTAATTTCTGGCTTTAAATTCAAGATTGATCTGAAGATTATATAAAAAAGTTTATAACTAGAAAATGGCTACTTTAACAAACTCCTGAAACCGACACAACGAAAATATTGATCCAAATATGGATTGTCATACCTTTCTGAACTCGTTATTAAATTTTCTAACGATTGGCATTTAAACCTTGACATTTTGTTTATTTTTAATTTTTCGCAAAAAATCATGGGGTACCCCCTTATAAAAAAATTAAAAATTGGCGAAAATTTTATTTTTCCAAATTTACACAAAAAGTGTTCTGGATTTATAGATAGATTTGTTATCTGTTCAAAACAGTATGTATTTTCGGTGTAGGACCATTTTTGGCCAAGTTACAGCAAAATAACCAAAAGGAAAAAGTCAAATTTTTACCAAAAACCCAGATCCCGATTTTTACACGCAAGAATAATTAGTTTTTTGGCTGAAACAATGGAAGTATTGATCCAAATATGGATTGTCATACCTTTCTGAACTCGTTATCAAATTTCCAATCGATTTGCATTTAAACCTGGAAATATTGTTTTTTGGCCATTTTTTGCAAAAAAACAAGAGAATTGATTTGTCTATGCAGTTGATGTAGCCCCCTTTTTGAAGACTCCGAAAGCTACAAATGTTTTAATGAAGTTTTATGAGGAAACAAGAGAGGAACCTGTTTCCTGTGAACTTCCCCTTCAAGGCAGACCCACAAATGAGGCAAGAAAATAAGAAAACTAGATCAAGACCCGACTTTTCGGGTCAGGTTAAGACTAAGACCGGCTCTCTCCTTCAACTTCCCATATATTTTTCACGTGTTTGTCTTGTGGTCATTAACGCTGACACACGGATTGCAACAGACCGAAGGGAAAAACAAAAACAAGAGTCTTCAAATCTAGACCCACCGACCTGACCTGACCCTGTCTCATTTTCGTTGGTTTTATGGCCGGCTCTGCTTTTGACCCGGTCCAATGTCTCTCTCTCTCTCTGTCTCGTTTTCCTGGCTCATTTAGCAGGTGCCTGCATTTTCCCGAGGTGATAGGAACACTTGGTTTGGGGGTCGTAAAACACGAGTCACATAAATCTGGTCACCAAACGCCGCTGGCTGTAAATCTTTTGACATGGCCCGAGTCCATAAAACAGCCCTAATGATCTAGCCGGAATTTCGGCTTCGCGGAGACGCAGGCATTGTGAAGTGGGCGAACTAAGCAATTTGATTTCCTCGAAGGGAGTTCGATTCTATTTTTTATGGCACTTGCCACTTAGCTTATCAATTAGCGGGCGAGTCAAGGGAAACGGGGTGCAAAGGGGGCCAAAGATGGGGGATTGATCCCCTCAATTATCGTGGATCCGAACAAATACTGTGGAAAAAACGGTAAACCACTACAGACAACTAATTTTCTACAAAGTATTGACAGTTTAATTTATTTAGAAGATTTATATATTATATTTAATAATGTTAATTCATAAAATATCATTATAATGGACTTTAAAAGATATAATACAATGTATAAATATCATTATAATGGACTTTTAAATTATGAAGACTCATTTTATGTATTTTTAAAATGTTTCCCCGTTATTTTTCTCAGTGTAGAGACTGCTCCACTTGCCGGTGCGTGTGCAATTAAAATCCGATGACGCTGAACTTCTAGCCTCAGCTTTTGGTGGTGGATCTGGATCTATATCTGGATCTGGAGGGTATGGTGCACTACAGAGGGCTGGGGAGTGAGTGACGCCAATGATGCACTGGCGACGACGACTTAGAATGCATTTAATTAAATTTGAACATTAATTGCCGATTTAAGGCGTCGCGCGTGTCGCCTCAATTGCCGGGCTCTCGAAAACCCTTTCAAGTGGCCATGCTGCCAGTCAACCCATTGAATCCATCCATCTCTGCATGCACCCCTCCTCCCACCACCCGCAGCTGAAGAGTCTCTTGTAAGAATTTGATTGTTTGATTAAATAAAAAACGAAGAAAGCCAAAGGCAGGGGATCCCTTGATGTCTTGACTCTAATAGAAAAATTCAATTATTATTTATGCAGCGAGGAGGGGGTATTAAAAGAGTAGAGCACTATAAAATGTGGGAATTTTTTAATAAAAAAAAAATAAAAAAAGAACCAAGACTATTGTTTATTAAAATTAGAATGGCTTTCTTTCTTAAACTTAGTCAAGAAAAGATATTTGAGATATTTTTTTAATTTTATAATTTATTTATTATTAAATTATAATTTATTTACTTAAAGATATGAGTATTTTTATGAGTATTTTTTTCACATGTTCTTGTACCGACTGTAGCTCTTTCGTTCCACTTGCTCACCCTTCGATTTTTGTTTCCATCCAAATGAGCTTGCTCCCAGACTTATTTTCGTAGCCCCCTTCCAACTTAAAGAACTCCCCGAATTGCATTTGCCAGAATTGTCAGTACTTTGTTGTCTGCCTTTCTGGTCCAGCTGTGTTTGCCTTCCTTTCCGTATTTTTCGGTTGCTCCGAGTCGTTCCGATGTTTGTGTATCTTATTAGTCATGATTATCACAAGTGTTCCCAAGCCTTCGCCATCGCCATCGACATCGCCCTCGCCCAATCCCCAATATTATATCTCTTTAAGTGGTGCAGCATCGCCCGACTCCACTCCTCGGCATATTTATTTATTATCATTTGTCTGCCCCAAAGCAGCCACAAAAATTCAATTCATTTTCGTCTCCCCGTGACCCCTGTGAACCCACTCCCCCCCACTCTCTTCTTCTCGCGGCGGTGTAAATATTTATGGATCTGCTGGGGACAAAGATGGTATATGGTATTCGGTATTTGGTCTTTGCTATAGGGTATAAATTATGGGATGTCTCGTTTGTCTGAAAGGAAGAAGGGTGCTTCTCTAGGACCGATCTGTTTCCGGACATCGAATGCCGTTCCGATTTCGCATTCGGCTATTTTACTTGGAAAACTAATCTCATGGCGCCAGTGCGATAAGATGAGAGTGCTACCAATTAAATGTTGGGCTGTTTTTACACAGAAGGCAATTTTTTTCTTGGAGTTTGTGGCAGCATTTATCGCATGATATGCGGCATCTCAATTTGATATGCTCGAAAGGTAAATAACATGTTCTCAGACAATAATTTTGCCATTCATATTATGTAGTTTAATTTTCGCCCAGTGTGGGGCTTATCGCTTATTTGATATTTGCAATGCGGTATTTGCCCCGTGGTGATTGTGCCGATTGTGCTGAGGTGTCGCC